ACCGTCACACCCTGTGACGACCGTCACGCCTCCCCAACTAGAAAGAACGCTCGTCACACATCATTGACGGACGTAATACGCTATTTAAGCGCATTACGACCGTCACCCACCTGTGACGACCGTCACGCGCGTAAAGAGGAACGTTATGAATTGGTGGAGACGTGGGCAACGTGAGGGCAGAATCCTTCTCCAATATTTCCTCCACTCAGTAACCATGCATCCTATTTTCACGCCACTCAAGCCTCTTCCAAGATTTTCTCAACTGCAATATTTTCTCCTATATATATGTGGTAGTGCAAAGGGATGAGGGTCGAAGAATTTTCTACAGACCAAAAATTGTTGCTTTTCTACATTAAACTATATTATTTATTTTTGAACCATTTTCATCCGTACTGTAATTTTTATTTCCAGAATTAGTTTCTAGAGTGTTAATTCTTCATCTAAGAATTAACACAGTTATAGATTTCGATTAAATTACAAGAAATTTGAAAGCATCCAAGATTACCACAGCAACATTATTTCCAGGTTTTTTATGCAATTGATATTTATTTATTCTTGTATTATGTCATTTATTTTTATGGATTATATTTTTAATTGCATAGTTACTAAATATATTATGTCCGGCTAAATCAATTGTACCGGTATGTGACTCCTAAGTACTGAAAGAATTCAGTGATAACTTGGCTAAAAAAATTTACAAATAATTTCTGGTTTCCAATTTCCATGTTTAATTTAACTACCCTTGTCACGAGAGTGAGAGGATAATTAACACGATTTTTCCACGAGAGTGGGAAATTAAATAAGGCAAGAACCTGCATGCGAGAGCTGGGGTTCGACCCAGATAGTGGTAACGAAACATTAATTTTTAAATACATGAGAGTGTTTTAACAAATTAATTAAACTCAAATTGTTTTCAAAAAGTGTTATTAAATTTAAAGTACATCCACTAGGTTTAGTAGCATGACTTATTTCATGAACACGAGAGTGTATGTCTCAGGTTTTTAAACAATTCGTTTTTACCGAAATACTTTATATGCCAAGCGATTCACCGAATTCCCGAAGTCCGACTATCACATACCGGTATAGCTATTACTATTATTTTTAATTAAACTATTTCCCCCCTAAAACCAAATATTCATCGCTTAGTTAAACAAATTGTAGCATTAGATCGTATGCGATTGATCCTCAGTCTCTGGGTTCGATAATCATTTAAAACTAGAACGACTAAACTGTATACTTGCAGTTAGTATCCCAATAGACTCATAAAGTCCTGATCAGCAAACGCAATGGAATCATAGTAACTTCATCTCCAAAGGAGGAATCAAAATATAAAATTCAAGGCATTAAGCCATATGGTTCATACACCAAACATGTTATCAAGTCTCATAATACATACATCAAAATATGGTCAAAATAAAGGATTATATACAAGTATAATCCCTCCACAAAATAAGAGTTCAAATGCGGACACTAAACCCCCAAGTGTTACAATCAGAGCATCGACTCAATAACCAAAATATAACGGATTACAAGCTTAAATGCATCCGCTAATCCTTGCGCCTCGCACCACCATCATCGGTACCTGAGTGATGCCGTAACAAGCATCATTCAAACAGAAGGGTGAGAATTCCAATAATCATGAAATATGTAATTTAAAACAATGGAAAGCAATAAATAAAAGGAATTCTCCATACTTGAGTATATGCGTATATCACTAACATAAGCATATTCATATATTCCATATTCCGCTATATTCACGAATTGTCTCTTTAACCATTTATCATCATAACCATATAATCACACTCATTCACACATCATAACCAATTTCACAAACTCAATCATCTTCACATAAACTCATAATATATATCATTATGCATATGACTCACAACTCGATGCAACCAATGCAAATGTGGTACCGACTTGTGGACTCAAATCTCCACCACTTATTTTTCCACATAGGATCAAAGCCACTACGTCTATTTCCATTATAGGATCAACGTCTATCTTTTTGTGAACTCAAGTTTCACCGCCTATGTTCCCTTTTTCAGGTCAAAGCCACTACGTCTATTTCCATTCAATGATCAACGTCTATAAACTGTGAACCCACTGTTTCACCGTCTCTATTTCAAGACCAACCATGCCATGCAATGTATAATCAACAACTCGTATGCAATTAAGACCACTTCCGCCCTTAACATACACATACCACATATTCCAACACAATAAAATACCAACAATTGTACATGCATTACAAATATAATTCACAAACCAAGTAACATACAAGTTTAAACAATGTTACTTCCGTGATTTATTCAAATCAAACACGATTTCGGTTAGCCCTTAAAAACGTCGAAATCTCAAAAAAAAAATAACTCAACCATAATTACCTACGCATTTAACTTAGTTACTCCGTCAAATTTCATTAATTTCCGGATAACTAATTTTTTTACCGCCTATACCGGCAATTAGAAATAAACATAATTCCATAAACCGGAAGTATTTCAACTTAATTCGACTCCACCTACAAAATTCACATTTTTCAACAAAAATACCACCCAACAGATCAACCAAAATTACTACCATAAACTGCATAATAATTCGGACTATTCGGGCTAAAATCGATTAATTAATTATCGGCCAAAACTCTATTATTTCTAAAATCATTATTATTAAATAATCCGTATTTGTAAATAAGAATGTAGTTACTACAGTATTGCAAGCAATTTCCTCTAAATACTACTTCAAAATTCGCTACAGTGTGCAACTAATTATTTTCTAAATATTACTCCAATAATTTCGCTACAGCTTGCCAAATAATTGCACAAAATGCTACTTCACAATGTCACTTTCTATGCACCACTGTATACCAGCTATGTGCCACTAAATATCTTCCATTCATACGCTACAGTAAGCAGAATAATTCCTTCTATTTATTTCTTCATATGCGCTACTGTAATGCCTAAACAATTCCATATGCTACTAAATATTGCTTTATACATAACGCTACAGTAATCAGCCACTTCTTCCAATTGCTATACCACTTACCGCTAATGTAATGCTACTTCATCAATAATATACTCCCTGCGCTACATTATGCTTCGTCACAGTAGCAGCCAAAGCCCTTTAGTTACTAATTCTTAAATGTTGCTACAACATGGCAAATCAAGTGCCTTTCTTAGCTACTTCTTAATGTTATTTCAGCATAGCAATTACCTTATCTCGCTACAGCATTCAATGTGCCACAGACTGCAAGTTATTACCAATGTTACTTAAATTCTTCATTTAATCACGCTACAGTAAGCCATAAATATGGAATCTTTGCAAAGGCAAAATACTAAGGCACTTATATATTTGTATATCTAGTTATATTGGGTCTTAAATCATCTCTCAATTTCATCAATATATCAATTTCAAACACAATTAAAAATAATATTCATAACCCAAATCCACATACTATTAATTATACACCCTATTATAGAGTCAGAACTCCACCCTTACCTCGGATTAGGAGCAACTCTAAGGGACTTCGACCGAATTTTGAGGAATTTTGACACTCGAAGGAATTTCCTCTTTTTCATCTTCTCCCCTCACAAACCCTATTTTCCTCTTGTTTTTCTTTTTCCTGATACCACACTCCTCTTCTAAACTTCTTTACTTCTATTCTAATATAATAATTATATTTTTTTATTTAATCTTAAAAAATTCAAATGGGCCTAAGAACAAAACATACCCCTCTAATTACTACACACCACCATCAATTAAGCCTAATGTTACATTTAAGCCTAATAATAAAAATAACACTTTAACTTAATTTCACCTAATTAAATCCGATTAATTTTTTTTTTATTCCGACTTAAAAATTAATTCCGACTTCGACGATAAAAATTTGAATTAATAAAAAAAATCAAAAATATTTAATTAAATATCGGACGTTACATTTTCACTATGTTTGGCACATCAATTAGTTGGAAAGCGCACTTCAGAAGGTTGTAGCCTTATCAACCACTGAAGCGGAATATATTTCTCTCACTGAAACTGTGAAAGAAGCATTGTGGCTTGAAGGTTTTTCTAAGGAGTTGAAACTTCAAGGTCGAGTTATCACTGTTAAATGTGATACTCAAAGTGTAATACACATGTTGAAGAACTCATCCTATCATGAGCGAACCAAGCACGTTGATGTTAGGTTGTATTTCGTCAGAGGGGTAATTGAGTGTGGAAAAGTCCAAGTGCTGAAGGTTTCGAAAAAATCACAATGTTGCTGATATGATCACCAAGACATTGCTAAGTTGCAGGTTTTTCCACTGTATGCACTTAATAAAGTTGCATGAAGAAAGCTAGTTTGTTCTTTGATATTATAGAGTTTGTTCCAAGGTGGAGATTTATGAGATATTGGATCGAACTCTATTGGGTCGAAGGGTAGCTTCTGGTTCGATAGAGAATAAGCATGAGGTCGAAGCTTGATCACATGTTGTTGTCAAAGTAGTGCATGTTGTAGTCGAAGTTGTTCTAACATGCATTAGTCGATATTGCTAGGTTTATTAGCAATGTCAAATTGGGCCTGTTTGTTATGTCCAATTGTTTAAGTTAGCTTGTACCCTAAGTTAGTTTGTAGTGGGTATTTGTGAAAAATCTCATTAGTTTAGTATGTTAGGTTTATTATAAATATTAAATAGCATACTAGTATTTCATCATTACACACTGCAAATCCTAATTTTGGGTGAGAGAGGTTATTTGTTATTCTTGAGTACTTATAATCTGATTTAAAGAGAAAGTAAAGAATAACAGTTATAACCAATTCCTTGTGTTCTTCTTATTTTTCCATTTTTTTTCTACCCTTGATTGTTTCTTGATCATAAAGAAACAGCTTATACTTTGTTACCAAGGCATCATTTTCACAACACTAACAATAATATCTCTACCAGGATCAAGATTGTCAAAATCTCCTACAATTAACGCAACAACCTCATCACATGTGGACAAATTATGTATTCTTGGATCCTTTATTCAATTTCTAAACAACCTAAAACACAAATTGGATGTGTTGTTATGTTGCATGTGGTTGCAAAATTTTCTAAAGGACTTGACCAAGACATTATGTTCATCCACCATCTTTGTGATGTCTTCAACCAATGTTTTATCCAGGTTGTTTGTGTTGTCATTGGATCTGCATAACGTTGCAATAAAATAGTCACGTATAAAATGAACAGTATAAAAATAATAATAGATTATAACATACCAATAACACGTCGATTAAGAATATACCAGAAATGACTAATTCTATTCAATGTCTCATTCTTTGTGTCATAAATATACAGTTGGGAGAATTTGGGAGTTACTCCTTCATCTGGAATTAGACTATCAATTCTATGAAAATTTTGACCACTAAGAATAAATTGGGGAGGACCTCCACTTGAGTTAGACTGGATCTTCCCACCCATGGAGGTAAAATATAACATACTATTATATGCTTGAATGTTTTCTTTGTAATGTTTACTCCTTGATTCCTGTCCATTCATTAAGTTAATTAGCAGATTTTGAGGACTTAATTCGTATGGAAGCTCAACCACTCCTTTCAAACAGCAAAGCAAAAATGTAACATTTATGGTTGTATTGTCACATTTGTTAGATCGCTCCTCATACCACATCTGGGCACCACAATAAGAACTTACATACAATGGTTCTCCAAGATCAATCATATATGTTGAAAACAAAAACTCAATTTTAATATCATCCAACAAACTATCAAATACATAATTATGCACTGTTCATTTATACATGTTTTGAATATTTGTGATTACCTTCACTTTCAGCCTATGTATATCTGTCAGAATGAAAAATTGCTCTCTGCTCATTCATGCTTGTACCTGATGGTTTAAAGACACTTAGTATAGCAACATAATTTTTTTTAAAACAAAACATATTTCAAAGGAAACATATTGGTACATGAATAATTAATATGTACATTCAATGACAACGGGTTCGACTGTTGATTCTCCGTGAAAATTCAAGTCGAACAAAGGAATAGATACAAGAACATGGGTAGGTTGAAATACACGTTTTGTAACATGTATGGAAGTTGGATTTATTACTTCTGACATATGAGTGTGAGGTCTCAATTCAGCAACACCTGTACAAATAGAATTTAAACAAAAAATTAAATGTATATTCAAGAGTATACTAATATTCGAGTTATTACATGGCAAATAAGAAAGAAGTCATACGAACCATTAACATATTTTGTTGGATGAGTATCCTTGTTTCTAATTAACTTCATCCTACGCCTTCTAGATGTTGTTGAAGTATAAATATAAAATTGTCATGGATCAATTTTAAAAAGTTCAATTTTATATATAAAAAAACAGTATGATGTTCTTTTAAAAACAGGGGCACACCGAACCTGCATCAGATGTAAGGTCAGCTGTGGTTGAAGTTGCATAAGTAGGATTCTTATGTTTCTTGCTCAAAAATTCAGAAAAGTGGTCGAAATACGATATGCCTACGACATCAGTAAGTGTTGTATCATTTGCAGTTGTGAAAACGTTGCAAAATAGGAAAATGAAAATTAATGTAAACATATTATCTGTATTGAGAAACAATGATATGAAAGTTTCACCATTTGTTAACAAAGACAAAGGAGTTCTAGGAACATGATTATGTCTACTGGTTGAAGCTCCATGATCTTGTTTAACCGGTGTAAAATTTTGCCTAACAGAAAAATGAGCATAGTTTAGGTAATTGCGACAACATATTAAATACAATGTTTTCCTGCTAAAGTAACCAACAGAGCATGATTTCAAGTTCATAAGCAAGGATCAGAAGAATGCTTTTGATAAAAGTGAGTAAATACTTGTGAATGTAGTCTTTTGCCGCGACGACTTTACTTTCATTAACATTTTCCTCCTAAGTCTGGCATTATCTGAACTGTTCTCATCCATAGCAATACGCTTTAAGCTTCGCAGCAGTGCAAAGTAAATGTCCCTATCAAATTTTATGCATTTCGTTATGAGACGATCAGTCAGTAAATCAACATTTATATGGTGAATTATGTCGTTGATATAAAAGTTAGTGATGATGAAATTGTGTATGCGACATGTAATTTATGCAGAAATAGACATCAAATATGTGTTTAAAGTATATAGTATTGAAGACAAGGTAAATCATACCTTAGCTCAAAATATATTATGCTGATACATGGATGTGTGTGTGGTAAAGACTGTAATATTATCTTTATATATGAGGTTGAGCATAATTATATAGTATAGCATGGAGTATTCCATTTATTACCTTGTTAAAATATTTGGTTAAATCATGTATAAATTATTTCCAAGAATATTGTATTACCCAAAAGAATTAACATGACATTGGAATTTGAACAATTAATATGTACCATTCATATTCAAAACCATTCATATTCTTGAAAATATTCAACAACAAAGATAACAAAATTTAAGCGTATAAAATCATGAAGTTTGAATTATATAGATTTGAATACTCAGTATTGGTAATAATATCAGAAAATGTTCCTTAAAGAAACTATGTGGAAAAAATAAAGTATAAGAAGGGAGGAAGTCATATGAACACACAAACTTGATGTATTTATATTACTCAAATGAGTTTGATTCCTCAATGGAAAAAACATTCATAAATTCAGATATGATGTACATCCAAATGACATGAAAACGGATATTACATAATCCTAATCAATATTTTAAAATAAGGACTAAGACTAAGGACTTATCCTTCATGTATCTTCTTGTTATGGAAACTGCACAAATATAAATTTTCTGCTGCATCATCTTCCAACTTGCCACAACATTTTAAATGAATAAGATAGCAAAAGAACCTAGTAATTATTTATTTGAGAAATAAAAAATTGAGGGTTTGCATACCTTTTAGTGCATATAAAGATTTGAGGTTGCTCATACCTTTAAGGGAAGAATTGGCATCAATCCAATCAATTAATTTATCTAAAACATAAGGTATTTTTATTTACCTTTGTCATAGTTATCGTTTTGACAGTTTCATAGCTTTTTAGGTTTCAAAAGTACATGAAGAAAACTTAACATTATAAAAGCTAATTTCTGAAATACACAACCGAAGTCGACATGAAATTCGTTCAAAACATATGACAATAACAATGTAAACATAAAACAAATGGAAGTACTAAATATTGGGCTAAACAAATGCCCCCATAATCCAAATTAAACAAATTGTAGACCACTTAAAGTGCCTTACAATTTAACCAAAAAAACTACGCATAAAACAAAAACTAAAGTGAAACAGCTGAACCATATCCACTAATCCTTCTCAATCTTAATGTTTTTCAGAATCCTTGTGTTGGCTCCATTAATATCTCCAGCCACTTTCATAATTCCCCTCTTAACAGGAGTGCAATCTGCATAATCAACTTCAATATGTGTTGACACAAAGCCATTATCTTCATATTTCTCCTCGGCGACAACATTCTCAAATTTTGAACTCAAATCCTAAACTACACCAGCAGCCAACTCATTTTGAACATCAACACCAGTCAAATTCTCATCAACACCAACAAAATTCTAAACGAAATAGAATGTCAAAGTAATTAATTATATGAACATACATCCCAGATTACACAACAAAAAAAACCAAGGTAGAACCAGTTAGAGAGTATAGCCACCTTCACAACAAATTTCAAATCCTGAATTACACCAGCAACCATATCACTTTGAACAACACCAGCAATCAAATCATCCTCAAAATCAACAAAATTCTAAACAATTTTAAAATTGCACAATCATCAATTATATGAACGAACATGACACTCACATATTACACAAAAAACAAAATGAACTCACGTGTAAGAGAGTTTTATCCACCTTCACAACATATTTGAACTTAGTGATAATATCTTTGTCGGCACAAACATTTTTGACGCGAAATGAATGTTTAAATCCAGATTTCACATCATTTTTGACATCTATCTTAAATAGAAAGGTTTGTTTAATAAAACCACCAATAACTCTAGGCATAATTGTTGGCTCATCTTCCTAAAATACAGATTTTTAAGTTAAGTTATTGCCAAAAAATATTTTGATTATATTGTGACAGTAGATAATACGTAACAATCAATTTTTTTTAAATACTCACCCGATCCATTTCAGTAATCAAATCAGAACATGTCATCTTGGTCAGCAAATTACAATCACGATCAAAAAGCATGAAAGTAGCAGAGTCTATTTCATCAATTACTCTAAGTTTGACACGATACCTACATATTTAAGGAAGTGATGACATTAGATAATATATAAATATATAAACTATTCATGAATAATTGAAACAATTTACATCTAAACACCTTGGCACAATTGTCCAAATATGTTGTTACACTTTGGACAGAAAAACTTTTTGGAATATGCAACAACTCCCTTGTTGCAGATACATGCAGCATACCACCAATCATTGTCACCGATAATATGTTTTATTGTGCCTAACACAACACAAACCATGTTCTACAGACACAAAAAAGAAATAACAATGTGAAATAAACCTAAAAAATATTAAGCATATCATGTGAAATATGTATGAAATATAAGTATAATCAAGATTACATCTTGAAAGTCTTTTAGTTCCTTAATTGTTTTGCGTTGACTCAAATTTAGGAAATCTTCTTATAAACTCAACTCAGAAGCATCCTTCATATAACTAAATGTTTGAGTGAGTGATCCAATCTTATCACTAAAAAGAAAGAAATCAAAATAGTCATCAATCATGAGTATGAAGAAAATTCATAAAACTGAATTGAACAAATTTAACAAATATCTATAAAGTATTTACTTGAGTTTGAAACTATCTGCCTCAGGTGATTTTGGGTTGAACAATAGTTTGATACAGTTCATTGCATTCTGCATCTGGATTTTTCCATTATACATTTTGACTTTCAGATATTGAGCAAGCACAACAACAGTCTCGTTGTTACCCGATTGGAGGTATGCATCAAGGTCATCAACATATGATCCAAAGAGTGTACATTCAAGCTTCATACTACACGGAGAAAAAAATATGAAACCACTTAGTTCATAAGTTATATATAACTAACATATAAAAGTATATGTTTTATATCATATAAAATAACTTACCCATTGGACTACAACTCAATGACTTTAAACTTAGTAGTTACACCATTTCTTTTATAGACCCTTTCGCGTCCAACCCCATACAAAATGGCCACATCATCTATTACATAAATAAGACATAAGACATTATCATCATATTGAATAAAAAGGAAAATTTCAGATAATACAAATTGAAAAGTCAAAATACATATTTTGAAGTAAATAAAAGTTTTAAATGATATTTACCAATCAAGTAGTTCATGTCGATTTTCCCAACAAACTCTAGGAAAGATACAAATGAATAAGGGGAGATTGTTCCTATACAAATGAATACTGGTCATAAACGCTCCAGTATTAGCGGCGACATCAAAAGATTGAAAATTATAAACATTACCCTCAGGAATCTTATTATCAAATCGAGACAGCAGAGTTTTTCGAACAGAAACCTGAATCTTGTCACTCTGTCAATTAAAAATGAATAAAGATTAGAACAAAATCATAGAAAATAATATGCAAAGAATTCAAAAATGAAACAACATCACATAATATTTTCATCTCATCCATTAGAACCATTTCCATCACATAATATTTTTGTTTCGAATTCATGTCTAGCACAAACCATAAGTGAATCACTCGAACAACAACATACCATGATTCCTTTGTCGGAGTCATTTCAGTAACAAAGTCACATCTTGCGGCGGCCATTGCAAAATATTGAAATACCAGAGAGAAGGATTCGAGGGATATGAAAAATTGGAGAACAAATAGGTCATATTAAACGGAAAATACCAAAATTTGAAAGAAAATACTTGCAAAATCTAACATTTCACATTGATGATGCACTAATTAGGTTTTAGGAGATGAGAAATTAGCATTAAAGGGATTGCATCGTGAAACCAATTGAAGCAAAACCGTCAACCTGTTTATTTACAGAGGAAGAATTCGTTGTAACCATTGAAAAACCTACATTAATTTCGGATTTGCATCGAGAAAAAATAATAAAATTTTCGGTTTTTTTATGTGGATAGTGAAAATTGGCGGCATATGTTGGGGATAGGAAAATATACTTGAAAGGACACAAATTAGGAACAATAAAGAAATACAAAGTGTTTTGGAACACTAAAGAAATTCTATAATAATTATAAAAAAATATAACAAATATAGTAACATTTCTTAAATTAGAAATTATTAAAATAGTAAGTTTTCTAATATTTTGACACTCAGTAAAATTGTCAAAATACTCATCTTACTTTATTATATTATATTGGATGATTTAATTAAAAGATGAAAGAAAAACATTAAATTAAATTAAAAGACTTTAAGACTAATTATTAAAAAAAATAGTAATCATATAAATATTCATTGAACATTTTAAAACTAACTTAAAAAAGTATCATTAGATAGTGATTTAATTATACGCACTTTTAAAATAGTTTTACATATTGTTCATGTATATAAATTAATCTCTTACTAAAAAATAGTTTTATTTACTAGAATATTTTTTACTTTAGTATCACACTATATTGGCATTGAGACTGTACACTCTCCTTACAAAATGTAGAAAAGTTACTAGGAAATGTTTTTTAGAACAAAATAAAATTGAATTTGTACCTATTAATAAGTCTAGATATATTACATTTGCGTTGTTTCATTTCCCCCACTTTCCACTCACCAATTTGAGGTGTTATTTCCAAAGACCAACTTTTGCTCTTCCTTTTACATGTCATTACTTCTTCATCGTTTCTTCTTCCTCTTTAGTCTTTACTAGCCTCGGTACTTATGCTCATGTCATGCATCATCCATTGGGAGCTTGAATCAGATTTGCTTCCGGGTCAGGGATATGACTTCTTCATGGTTTATCAAACTTGCTTTCAAATGCCTTCTTCACATAGCATGGTATGCAAATGCAATGAACTGTTTTATTCTTCTTGATACTTCCATGCATGCTAATCAACGTTACCCTTGTTTTATTTCCTTCTATTTTCTAGGCCTCTTTTTGCTCTGGTGTTTCCTATGTAAGTTCTTTTTTCTGTGTGTTTCACATCATTTTGTTTTGTATAATGCTCCTTTTGGTTTTTGTGATTATGGTTTTTGGACAGGTGTGCTTCCATACATGCAATCGAGACTGATTGTTATGCAGAAACTAAGAATTTGATCTCATATTGGATACTTCTTTCATTCATTTACCTCTTTGACTATGCTTTATTCAACCTTCTTCTATGGTAAATAAATGTTGCAAATGATTCCCTTTTGATTTTTTTAAACAAATTCATGGGGTTTTTAACTACTTCGTTCCTATTTTTCATATCAGGTTTCACCTCTGGCAGTACATTAGGCTAATGATCGTTTTCTGGCTCGTGACGCCAGACTTTGGACGAGCTTCTTATGTTTGTAATAACCTTATTCGCTCGATGAAACCTCAAATAGTCACATGCTGGAGGAAGTGTTTTGTTGAGAGAGACAACTTTTTAATGCATGCTGAGGAATATGTGAAAGAGAATGGAACTGAAGCCTTAGAGAAACTCATTACTAGCAAGGTAAATGTAAATTGGGATTACAAACTCAGTGAAATTTATTTAGAGTTCTTTAATGAGAGAGCTTGATCTTGTGCAGACAAATGGAGAAAGAGTTCAAATTGAGCACAAAGACATCAAAGATTTGGAGGCTATTGAGAAGACTGAAATTCATGTGGAGACAATCGAACAAATACAGACAGAGAACAAAGACATCAAATATTTGGAGGCTATTGAGAAAACAGAAACTCATGCCGCCAAACAAGTAAGGCTTCATTCATATTCACTGAAAATACAAATATCCCAATTGGTCATATTCATATGATTTTTTGTTGTGGTTGTTTTTGGTGCTAGAGAACCTATGCTAATATTGTGGCGACTAAAAAATCATCATCAGCGGCCATAGTAGAAACCAAAGGAACAGCAGAAAGTGAGGGAGCTGGTGGAGAGGTTGTTCAGAGTTCGAATTCTACAGAGAAGCAAGTGCAGAGAGAGTGGATATGTGGTTTATGTTTGGTTAAAGTTACATGCGAGAAAACCTTGAATTCCCACCTTAAGGGGAAGAAACACAGGGCTGCTTGTGAAGAAGCTTTGAAATTGAAGATGCCACCTGGTCTGCAAAAGAAGCTGACAGAACCAATAAGGATTGTTAATTCCAAAATAATATGTAAGGCGTGTAATGTTATGCTTCCGAGTGAAGACTGTGTGGTCTCTCACATAAAAGGGTGGAAGCACTTGTCTAATGTTCAGAGTTGAAAGGAAATTTTTCTAGAAAATCTTACTAATTTATATCAGTTGTACCAAAACCTAGCTGATTTTTAAATGGAAAATGCTTATTATGTTGAGCATTGTTCATTGGTGTGTAAACAACTTTCTCTTGTGTTGATGCCTAAGAAACCTTTCCATGAATCTCCGATTCATTCATTCAAAGCTTAATCATATAATAGCATTAAAAAAAGTTTATACTATTTCGTGAGAAGTCTTTCAAGATTTAGGTTGGTACATGTATTGTGTTATTGATTCTTATTTTGGTCACTGTGGTGTAAATTAATATAGTATTTATAAAGTATATTTTTTGATGTTTTTTTTGAAATATTAAATTAGATTTGTTAAAATATTAAATTTAATTTGATTTAAAATTTAAATATAATTTAAATTGAGTAAACTCAAAATTCAATTAGAGTTGTATATAAATAGTCATAGTCTGTACTATTATTTATACAATTCAATAATATAAATCTTTATTTTCTTTATTATTCTCTCTTTCTCTCCTTACTAAAGTGTTTAATGCACTAACAAATTGGTATCCAGAGTTTCTGGTTATTGTTCTTGACCGAGTTTTCAAGAATTTTACGTCATAGATCGTCTTTCTAGGACAAGTGAATCAACCGCTGCGAAGATGGCTGGTGATAAGAGCATTCTGAATTCTCTTTCAATGTTTGACGGCGAGAATTGGATCCGATGGAAAAACATATGCAATCCTTGTTTGGCTTTCATGAAACCTTAGAAGTGGTTACCGACAGCGTTCCTGCCTTGGCTGTAAATGCAACCGACGAACAAAAAAAACCCACAATAAAGTTAAGAAGAAAGATTGCAAGGTTGCTTTTAGCATTCAGACGACGGTTGATGCTTCTAATTTCGACAGAATCTCTCATGCTGAAACAGCGAAGGAGACATGGGATATTCTGGTGAAGTATTACGAAGGAGATGAGAAAGTCAAGATTGTCAAGCTACAAATATTGCATCGACAATATGAGTTTTTGTCGATGGGAAAAGATGAAAAAGTTGCAGAATATGTGTCGAAGGTTCAAAAATCCGTCTATCTCATGAAGGATTGTGGTGAAATCATAATTTGGCTCCTAAATTCGACACCCACGTTTTACTATCATATAGACCATTAATTATGAGTCAGAAGAGTTTCCTACATAAGAAGGCTTCGACCAGCTGATCATGTCGAGGGCTCATCAAAGAATGACAAGATACTTAGAGAAATTCCTCTAAATTGGAATCTTGTTGTCTTCGACGTCGAAGGAACAACCTCTCGACAAAGGTTCCTGATGCCCAAGGTCGAACGGTTTGAGTTTTGAACCGTTGGAGGGAAGACGGTTCCCAGCAGTTACCAAATGCAACGTGTCGTGAACATAGGCGTCGAAGGTTGTGAGCGTGCCATGTGGTGTCATCATGAAGCGGTGTAACTGCCCAGCGGTTACTTAGGATTTTTCTTAGTATAAATACTAAGTGTTCACGTAGTTTTTGCATGTGTTCATCATTTTATACAAGTCACTCATTTAGATTCAAGTACCCAGCGTGAGAGAAAGAATCATTGAGAATGTATGTGTGAAACACCATTTAAATTAATCAAAATCTTTTATATTCAAGCAATTTATCGCTGTTCATTTATTTACCTCCGTCGAAGCCTTTTATTTAACAATTCCTTAACGCTTTTATTTATTCTATTAAGCTTTTCTCCATGCAATTTACTTAAAGTGTCTTTACTTTACTGGCATTAATCACCATTAGTATTAGTCAAACTACAAAAATCAACCATGTCTTAGGATCAATCTGATCGATCCTGCGAGTCACCAAATAAGTAACTTTTTGGAAGATCAGCGGTTGTTTACCATTTTTTAGGGTAAACAAATTGGCACACCCGGTGGGACCTTGTGTTGATTTTTTCACGATTAACCGTTTTATATAAAATATCCTCCTTTTTCGAGAGTATTGCATGTTATTGAGAAGTGGTAGAATATACACCAACGAAACCAATACTAGGAGAAGAAGTGAAGAAATGGCGAATCCGCCAAACAATGGAGAAATCCCACAAACAAACGTGGGAGCAACGATTATCCCAACCGTAAGTGAAGTGGCAACCGGTGGTTCAACGCCAGCAGTAACGGTTACACAAACGGGACCATTACCTCCATTCACAGGCCCCAGAATGCCTTTGGGAACTCCCCCACCAAGGGGAAACCAAGGAACTAGGCCATATGTTCCCCCAGGTTTTTCGACAGTCGGTTTAAATCGAGAACCACTCTATGGTATGCCAACTTCTGAATTGGCTAGCCTGATGAATGCTACGTCCACTTTTTCAGACCCTTTAGTGAGTGCCTCTTCGCCACTCCAAGGCTCTGGGGTTGGTATGGCGAACAGGGGTAGGACCTAACTCTTAGGAGGAACGTCCCAAGTAATGCATGGCCTTACGAATGCCTCGACAACAGTCTTGAGGCAGCAAATGGACGAAAGCAACCACGACATAGTTCAAATGTTGGCGCAAACTTTAAGTACAGTGCTAAATCCTCTAATACAGAATATCACCCAGTCGAATCAGCAAATGACAGCACAAATGTCGCGTCTGGCTGACTTTTTTGGGGTACCCCAACCTATTCGACAGCCTCAAAGGGCACAAATAAGGGGGAACCAAGGCATACTTCTAGAGGAAGAAACCATTATTAACCAAGTCCAGCAGCCTGTCGAAGAGAACCTTAGGGTACAAATGGAACAACCCGGGGTCGAAGAGCCTAGAGTCATAGCCCCGAAAATAAGGATGGTTAATAGAAACCAAAACGGTGACGAAATAGTTCAGCAGATCCAATACCAGAATGTTGGTTTGGAGAATAACTTGATAGCCATGATTGAAAGAATCATGATGCAAAACGGGATGAATACGGGCTTCCATAGGCCCAACTTCAGATCCCCGCTGTCGGAATATGTGTTACAAACGGACTTGCCTCCTAGATGCAAAGTCCCTAAGTTCACTAAGTTTTCAGGGGACACAACAGAATCCACTGTTGAACATGTGGCAAGATATTTAATCGAAGCAGGAGAAATTTCAAACAATGAGAACCTGAGGATTAAGTATTTCCCAAGTTCCCTAACAAAGAATGTGTTTACTTGGTTCACAACTCTTCCCCCCAATTCGATCCACCATTGGACCCAGTTGGAGAGATTATTTCATGAGCAATTCTACATGGGACAAACCAAGATAAGCCTGAAAGAGTTGGCCAGTGTAAAGAGGAGATTCACTGAGCCTATAGACGAATACCTAAATAGGTTTAGATTGCTCAAGGCAAGATTCTTTACGCAAGTGCCAGAGCATGAGTTAATCGAAATAGCCGCAGGAGGTCTAGATTACTCCATTAGGAAGAAATTAGACACTCAGTACCTGAGGGACATGTCCCAATTGGCCGATAGGGTTCGACAGGTGGAACGCCTTAAAGCTGAAAAATCCAGGGCGACGAAAACTCATAAAAGAGAAAGGATAGCGTATGTCGAAATGGACGATGAAGATCCAGAAACGTTCGACGAACCTATAACCGTCGAAGAAAGTGAGGTCGATTTAGCTGAGTTAAAACAAGGGCCACCATACTCTTGCAAATTACTAGTCCCCTCAAGTGGAAAAAAACCCACTGGTTCTGAAAAGGCCAATGATAGGTTCCCTAAAAAGACTTACAGTTTTGATATTACGAAATGTGATGAAATTTTTGATTTACTTGTAAAAGATGGCCAAATGATAATACCCCCAGGGGTAAAAGTGCCTCCTCTTGATCAAAGAAAGAAAAGAGGCTATTGTAAATATCATAATTTTCGGGGCCATAAAACATCTCAATATTTTATTTTCAGGGATCTCGTGCAGAATGCTATCGAAGAAGGGAGGCTGAAGTTCGCTGATAAGGCCCCCGTGAATGTGGATCCGAGCCCTTTGCAGGCAGAAGCCCACTATGCTGAACCTTCAGAGGTGAATGTGATCGAAGCTTCCACGAGTCAGGTGAAAAGGCCAGGGATAACTATGGTCGAAGTCACCAAAGATCATATCAATATGCCAATCTTTGGCAGTTTTTCTGGGAACCTTTCTAGAAAGACAATCGAAGCAGTCCAAAAGGCCGCTGAAGGCCCAAAACTGGAGACAGGTGGAGCCTCAAAATCTGGAACTAAACCCGTGTCCTACTTGGCTGCAGTGCAAGGCCAAACAAAAGACCTGGAGGCTCAAATGAAGCAAGTGACTCTTGCTACTAAAGACAACATGAATGTCAACATGGTTGAAATCTCTGAATCGAAAGTTTCAAAGGAAACCATTAGGCAAGAGCAAGCAAACATAACAGCTTTTCCTCTGGAGAACAAAAATCTGGCAGAATTCTTGCAACGATGCCAGAAGAAAAAATCAGAAGTAATGATGTGCCCTCGATGCAGCTCTATTTTTTACTAGAAAGCTGCTGAACACATCGAAGGTGTGAGAGCAGCAAACAGAAATTTGAGCAGAAATGCCCAAAAAAGTGCAGGCTCTGATGCTCGACACGATCCCAGAAGAACCTACCAAAAGGGTTCAAGCCAGGAAAAGAGGCCACTAACTTTTAGGCCTCCAACCAATGTGCCAGTTGATACATGGCTCAAAACATCGAGTCGAAAGAGACCCAGCGAAGAAAGGTGGCATTCCTTTGAAGTGCCAAGAGGTTCATCTTTGACACTCAAGAAAGAACCTCATGTAGGTGCCACCAAAGTGACCCAAGTATCAAGTAACTACAAGGGAAAGAACCCAATGTCTCGATCCCAGTGGAGAAGATACCAAAGGCGGCGCAAGGCTGAGAGAGAAGCTGTCAACGAACCAAAACCAGAGTCAAGTTCAAATGTCCCCCAGCGAAAGCAAAGGAAGCCTTTGGAGAGGGAACCGGTGACAAATAGATTGGTATGGCCTAAACAAGGCAAAGCTGGTGATGAAGATGGCTCTGAATCCGACGACACATTAGACATCATGGTAAATA